TTGAATGTCAGGCAGCATGCATATATTTCCAAATAGAATAGGAATAGAATAGAATAGAAAATTAGAATTAGAATGGAATGGAATGGAATGGAATAGAATAGAATAGAATAGAATAGAATAGAATAGAATAGAATAGAATAGAATAGAATAGAATAGAATTCGTTATTGGCCAAGTGTAATTGGACACACAAGGAATTTGTCTTGGTGCAAATGCTCTCAGTATACATAAAAGAAAAGATACATTCGTCAAGAATCATAAGGTACAACACTTAATAGTCATAAGGTACAATTTCTATATCCATCCATCCATCAATTCCATTTCTATCTTCAATAGAAATTAAAATAATTATATTTGGTGATATTTTATGTTTCAGTTGTATGGCTGCCCTTTGTCATAACAGTGACTAGGTCGTGGGAAATTTAAATCAATAAAGCAAATAACAAATCTTAACAAGAAATGCTACAAACCAGGCAGTATGTTGATATTTTGTTGTTTTGCTGCACTAAGTCTATGTATAGGAATTAGAATTACCATTGCTGCCGAATGAGAAATATACACTTTCATTCTTTTTCTCCTCAGTTCTATTTATTTATTTTTTCGTGGGGCTTCACTAAGTATTGGAATGAATGACCATCATGAAACTCTTTAGAAAAGGCATCACAGAAAAAGCCTGTAGCAACTTCTCTTCGTGTTACCAGGAAAGCAAAACCACTGACGTTGTAGTAAACATTACATTCAAACGTGAATTTGATACGTCCTTGGAGAACTTGCTTTGGTATGGCTCATATGAGTCTTGAGCAGCCAGGCTTTGCTAAATACTAGCTGGTAGTAAGTACAGGTAGTCCTCGACTTATAACAGTTCATTTATTGACCACTCAAAGTTACAACGCTGTACTGAAAAAAGTTTTTCAGCTACGACCACCCCCCCATGATCATATGATTAAAATTCAGATGCTTGGCAACTAGTTTCATATTTATAACGGTTGCAGTGTCCCAAAGGTCATGTGATCACCTTTTGTGACCTGTTCAGAAAAGTCAGCAGGGAAGGTCATTTAACAACCAGGTTACTTAATTTATCAAGCATGATGATTCCCTTAACAACTGTGGCAAGAAAGGTCATAAAAGAGGGCACAACTCGCTTAACAACAGAAATTTCGGGCTCCATTTTGTTTGTAAGTTGAGCTGTAATGAATTTCTCAACAAGCTATCACGCTTTTCCAAAAACCAAACTTCCTCGCTTAATCTGTGTAAATGAGTCCTGTGGTGGGATTCATCTCTGGCAGGGGGATGAGTCTGCTTACGGAGATGAGGTGGACCGCTTGCTTTCGTGGTGTGGAGACAATAACTTGGTCCTCAACACCAATAAGACCAGTGGTGGGATTAATTTTTTTTTATTAGCGGTTCTGTGGGCGTGGCTTGGTGGGCATGGCAAGGGAAGGATATTGTAAAATCTCCAGTCAGAGGTAGCATTTGCCGTTTCTCTGAAATACTCAAAATTTCCGCCTCCGGTTCTCCAGAACTGGTCAGAACCTGCTGAATACCACCTTCACCAGACGGTGAAGGATAATAAAAACAAGGACAAATAGGCTGAAAAAAAGCTTCTATCCCAGGGCAGTAGCTCTTTTGAATTCTGCTGTATAGTGCAATAGTGCAATATTAATGCAATATCAGGGTTTTCAATTCAATATATAGAATGTGAAGGATATGTGTTTGTGTTTATTTTCATAGTCATAATGTACACCGAAGATGGTATTTAATTTCGTTGTATGAGGTGCAATGACAGATAACAAATAATCAGAGTTGGAAGGGACCTTGTAGGTCATCTAGTCCAACCCCCCACCCAAGCAGGAGACCCTACACCATTTCTGACAAATGGTAGTCCAATCTCTTCTTGAAGGTCTTAAGTGATGGCGGAGCGCCAACTTCCGAGGGCAAGCTGTTCCATTGGTTGATTGTTCTCTCTGTCAGAAAGTTTCTCCTTATTTCCAGGTTAAATCTCTCCTTGTTCAGATTCCATCCATTATTCCTTATCTGGCCTAAAGGCACTTTAGAAAACAGCTTGACCCCTTCCTCTCTGTGGCAGCCTCTCAGATATTGGAAGACCGCTATCCTGTCTCCTCTGGTCCTTCTCTTCACTAGACCAGCCATGCCCAGTTCCTGCAACCGTTCGTTGTATGTTTTAGCCCCCAGTCCCCTAATCATCCTGGTTGCTCTTCTCTGCATTGTTTTTCTAGAGTCTCAACATCTTTTTTATAGTGTGGTGATCAAAACTGGATGCAGTACTCTAGGTGTGGTCTTACTAAGGCTTTATAGACTGGTATTAGTACTTCCCTTGACAATAAAGTAAAGTAAACAAATGCAACCTGAGCTCCGCCTCTTAAGGCGTCCAGGACTCCCCCTCGCGGATGGGCTGCAGTCCCATCTGGAAGGGAGGCGGGCAAAGAGGAGCGCCGGGAGTGCGAGGAGAGGGGGCGTCTCTTTTCAGGGCGGAGGGTCGCTGCCTGGACGGCAAGTAGGCAGGCAGGCGCGGGGCTTCCTAGGAAAGAAGGTAGGTTTCCCCCTTTTGTTTTTGCCTTCCGCCCCCTCGTGCATGGCAGCCCAGAAGTTGCTCCCTTTGCAAGGTGCAGTTCAAGAGGCACTTCTGCCATTGTTTTGAGGGGGGGGGGGAAATCCCTCCTGGATCTGGGATTTCGACCTTTTATTCCGTGTACCTGATTACTTTGACCCGGTGGTGGAGTTTGAATGAGGCAGCCGGAACTTCTCGCGGTTACTTTGGCGCTGCCGGTTTTTAGCTAGCTTAAGTTTTCGGAGTTGCATTCGGTGCAACCTAATAAGATACCACAGCGTGGTGGAGGCCTCCGAAAATAATTATATCAAGGATGCTATCACTTATCAAATGTAACAATTTGCTAGGCTTTTACTTAATAGTTGTTTTAAAAAAAATATTTGTCTCTTGAGGATCGGACTGTTGGGCGGAATTTTCCGTCCGAGGATGATATACGTACAGGTAACCTCCTTGTAGCGACCATTCTGGAAAAAGAAATATATATTCAAAGTGTAAGGGCTCCCATCTCATCCAGAGAAATCTGGTCGGCTCTCAAAAAGTTATCAACAATAAAAAAGCAAGTTAGAAACCAAAATGCAAACTTTTTTAAAACATTTTTGCTACATGCTTCAACACCTCATATTATTATTATTATTATTATTATTATTATTATTATTATTATTATTATTATTATTATTATTATTATTATTTGATTTGTGGGGCCTCCCCTCTCCCCTGAGCAATTCTGCACCTCTTAAGTAAAAATAAAAATAAAAAAGCAAGTTAAAAAGTAACAAATACATAGAAACTATGCACAATCCATTTAAAAATTAAAAACATCACAATCAGCATCCTCAATACAAGCCCTTTAAACGTCACTGCCCACAAACCACCTGGCAGGGTGGCAGAGCCAAGGTTTCAAGGCCTTCCTAAACGCAGAGAGTCAGTTGAAGGTTTAGGAGGGATAATGTCTGGAGCAGCAACCATTCAAAATGGTGCATTATATCACAACAGTTTTTGAATGAAGGCACTGCTACCTTAATGCATTAAAAATCCAGGATCAATTATTTCTGTGAAATTGAAATTTCCAGGATGGTCAGATCAGTTTTATTCACAAAATTATGGCGATAACAGAGTCGTTTCCCCGCACCCCACCCCCAGTCATGAGACATGATAGCAGTATTTGAGGGGCTGCCACAAAGAAGAGGGGTTCAAATTATTCTACAAAGCACCAGAGGGCAGGACAAGAAACAATGGATGGAAACTAATCAAGGAGAGAAACAACCTGGAATTAAAGAGAAACTTTCTAACAGTGAGGACAACTAACCAGCGGAACAAACAGCTTGCCTTCAGAAATCATGGGCACTCCATCACTGAAGGATTTTAAGAAGAGACTAGATAGTCACTTATCTGGAATGGTATAGGTCCGGGGTGATGAACCTATGGCACACGTGACGGAAGTGTCATGCGGAGCCATTATTGCCGGCATGTGAGCACTCGCCCAGAAAAGGTCTGTGCATGCGCACTGCCCGCCCGCCAGCTGATTGTCCGGTATCTGGCACGCATGTGTTCTATTCCTATTCTCTGTGCCAGTTTTCCACAACCAAAGTCAGTGGGGAAGTTGGTAGGAAGTCAGGGAGGGCCCTGTCTCACTGCTTTTTTGGCCTGCCTGTGCTCGTTCAGTTTATTTGTTTGGTTAAGTGAATATTGACTTATTTTTATTTGCTTACAAGTAGTCCTCAACTTACCGCAGTTCGTTCAGTGTCCTTTTAAAGTTATAATGGCACTGAAAAAAGTAACTTGTGACTGTTTTTCACACTTATGACCATTGCAGCCTCCTCATGATCCAATCAAAATTCAGACGCTTGGCAACCGACGCATATTTATGACGTCTGCAGCGTCCTGGGGTCATGTGATCACTTTTGACAAGCAAAGTCAATGGGGAAGCCAGATTCACTTAGCAACTGTGACACGAAATGTTGTAAAAATGAGGCAAAGCTTAGCAGTAGAAGTTTGGGGCTCAGTTCTGGTTGTAAATTGAGGACTACCTGCACATTTATTTTTTCTATTTTATAACATATAATCTCCTTAGGTGATGACAGCCTCATCCAGCTTTGGGATAAAAAAAATATTGTCCGCCATATTATGGCACGTGGAAAGAGAAGACGAAAGTCATGGTCAAGAGATGACTACAAATGTCGTCACGCAGCAAGGAGGAGGAGGGAACAAGAATCGGATGAGGCTAGGGCAGCTCGACTCCTGGATCAGAGACTCAGGACAAAGAAAAACAGAGAAAACGAGACAGAGGAGGAGAGGCACGCACGCCGCCAGAATGACAAGGAAAGACAGAGAAGGAAGAGAAAGAAAGAGACAGAGGAAGAGAAAGATGCCCGCCTCCAGGATCAGAGAGAAAGAACAAAGAGAAGAAGGTATGAAGAAACAGAGGAGGAAAGGGCTGCCCGTCTCCAGAAAGACAGAGAAAGGCACAGAATGAGGAGACAAGCCGAGACGAAGACGAAACAGGAGGATCCACTTGAGAATACGTGGCAAAGGGAAATTAGTGCGAGAGTTGCAGAACCCAACGCCTGCCTTCGACTACAAGGCCTCCACAGAGAAAGGACAAAGCAAAATGGACAACTCATAGGGTGTAATGTTTCTGCCGAGGTTGGTGCAATGATTGAAGTCTGCCCTGGTTAAGTACCTTTCTTTCAAAGGATGGCCCCAATGAGTCACAGGGCTGTCCGGTTTATTCCGTCACTCAAATATGTCCGTTTGCTGGAGTTTGATAGGTTTGTCTGAAATATTTGACTTCGGGTACGTGAGAGTGTTGGGCAGCTTTTTTTCATCAGAGGATGATATATAGGTAGACCTCGCTTACCCACTTGCCTCATGCAGCGACTAATAACTTGGTGGCCAAAGCTTGCATTTATAGCTTTTCCCTCATCCCTCAGTCACATCATTGTGATGATGACAGTGATGATAATTACATGATTTGTAGGTCCTTTATCTAAGAAACCGGGCAGCTCAGACCAGGTAAAACAAAAGTTAAAAACCTGTCTGAAAACATGGAAACAGTCCATAATCAATTAAACAAAAACAAAAATCACATTCAGAAACAATTCACCCTACGGTAAGTCAATATAGCCCCTTTAAGAGCTCTTCGCTATTGCCAGATCGAGACCTGATGGGAAGCCATGTCTTCCGGGCCTTCTAAAGGCCAATTGGAGTCCATGGCAGGTCCTGGAAGATAATGCAACAACCATGAAAAATTATGACAGTGACAAAAAACAGGCTTTGCAACTAATTTTCACATGAATGGCACAGTGCAGTCGTGGGATTCAACATTTTTTGCTACCGGTTCTGTGGACGTGGCTTGGTGGGCATGGTGTGGCTTGCTGGGCGTGGCTTGGTAGGCATGGCAGGGGAAGGATACCGTAAAATCCCAATTCCCTCTCCACCCCACTAACCTGCTTTCCAGCTCCGATCTCCTGTGCAGGGCAACAAAAGGAGACCCAGCCGATCAGCTGGGACTCAGGAGGCAGGGAATAGATGGGGGTGGGGCCAGTCAGAGGTGGTATTTGCCGGTTCTCCAAGCTACTCAACATTTCCGCTACCGGTTCTCCAGAACCTGTCAGAACTGGCTGAATACCACCTCTGCCGCAGTGTTCTGTGGCCACATAATCACCATTTCTCCTCTTCCCAAACCGCTTGTGACAAGCAGTCAATGGAGAATCTGACAATAAAATTGTAAGTTGTGGGCATGTGATATTCTATTTAGCATCCATGCCACTTAGGTTAATGATTGAAGGGGAAATGATATCTAACATGATCATATGATTTTTCACTTAGTGTTTAGTACTTAGCAACATTTTCCAGTCCCCATTGTGGTTGCTAAGTGAGTACTTACTTGTATATCTATCTCCACAGAAAATAATTTAACTTACTTGTTCACTTCCAACTGCCATCTAAATAAGAGTGGGGCAGAATGACCAGGCCCTAAACTGAATCACTAATCAAATTAAGAGTTTTTTAAATACCCCTTTGAAAGACCAGAATTTCCCAGAGACAAGGGAGCTCATTCCAGGCTCGGAGGACCTTGTACGTAAAGGCCCCAAACCTACAGGCCAAAACCCTGAGCAAGGGAGGCTCTGAGGATTGTGGGGAGACGGAAAGACCGAGGGACATCAAAAGGGAACGGGGAGGCTCAAAGAACCTGAAGCTTCAATGGAGCTCAGGCTCTAATTTATTTATTTTTATTCCAGTTACATTAAGGAGCTACCAAGCATCATCTAAGAATCTTTAACAGCAGCAAATGGTCTTAATTGTAAGAAAAAGAATCTTTTTCAAATCATAAAGAGGGATACTACAAACACAGAAAAAGGGTCCTTCTATGTTGTTATTTGCTACTACTTATTTTTTCCTTTCTGTAGCCGCGAGGAGGCCCAACTATGGAGGAAGAGAAGGGTGTCGTGGTATGCAAAGAAAAAGAAGGAACTGAGAATGGGGGAAGAGACCCTTTCATTGTCCAAGTCAGGACCATCAGGGGCTTTTTGACCAAGGATGGCCCATCCCACATTAAGATGGAGTCAGAGGACGAAATACACCAAAGCTGGGATTCTCAAAGGCAGGAACTCTTGAAAAGAACAGCTGGGTTTCCCGCAGCACCATCTCTTTTGGAAGAAGATACCAAAGATTTCCTGGCCTCCTTGGGAAGAGTCAAGGAGGATCTGCAGGAGGGGAGCTCTGGGAAGACCGGAGGGAAGGCTGTACCCCAAAGAGATCCGAACATCAATAGAAAAGTTCGGGTGGGCAGGAAAAAGCTGGATTTCTGCATGAAAGTCAAGGGTGAAGAGACTTTGGTGGAAGTTGATCTGGAGAGTCAGAGGCTCCTGCACCTTAGGCAGTTCATCCCACAGGATGCTGAAGAGGTATTCAGTCCCCAAAAGCTTTAAAAAAGGAGAAAATTGGGCGGGGCGGGGGGATGGTAAGGATTTATTATAAAGATACTTTTTCATTATTATCATAACTGTGAATGGTTGCTAAATGGGGACTAGAGTCACCGTTTCACGGACCTTATTGCCAGCCCCAATGATGGTCTTATCTGTACTCTTCCATTTTAAGTAATATTACAATACTACTCTGCCTAGTTTTGTACTTATATAAAAACAACTAATCCTCGGATTACGAAGGTGTTTAGAACTGGAATTTCTCTTTTTTCCCCTTTGTTCGGTGCCATAGCAACTTTGAATAATTGCTGTCATGTGAGGACTGCAATACTTTGTAAACCAAATTTTCATACATTGCGTTTCTATTCAATCCATTTTTCCCCTATTTACGCTACTTGCAAATACTGGAGCCAACCCCACATGGTATTAAACCAGGGGTCCTCAATCTTGGCAACTTTTAAGACTTGTGGACTTCAACTTCTGGGAGTCGAAGTGCACAAGTCTTAAAGTTGCCAAGTTTGGAGACCTCTGTATTAAACCAAGGCTTTAAAATATTTACTATGTTATAAATTCTAAGAATGATATCCAAAGATTTAAAAAGTAATAAATGATTACAATGGGAAATATATATTAGAATTAACGTCTTTGCAATAGAATGTACAAAATGTTAAAAACACCTACTTCAGAGAGGATAACAAAAATTGAGTCTGGAAGGCTGAAGTGAAGTTGCAAGCACAGTCACAGTCACACCTAAAATGCTATGATATTCATCTACTGATCATTTCACTTAATGATTTGATCCTTGGAACAGAACAAGGATTGGTTGCAATCAGCAAACCCAAAAAGGCTGGTAGGAGGCAGTTGCACAGGATTTGCTCCGAGTGATTACTAGAGCCAGGAGACATTTGATATTTTTAATAGAATGTTTATTAAAACTTTTAGTTTAGAAGAAAAAATCGGATAGAAAGTGAGGAAGAAAAGGGAGAAAGAAATAGAAGAAAAAGTGTGATAAATAGGAGGGGAAATTTAGGAAAAATGGAAAGAAAAATGATACAAAGAAAGTGGCTTCGGATATTTTTCACAGCAGTCCACAGTTGTCACCAGCGCACAATTGTAATTCAGATCCTGACTTACTTTGCTCCATACAAATGGATAAACATACGTTTCAGATAGCTAAAGTGGAAAAACATTGACAATTGTCCCAAAGGCGCTTTTTCAAGAGGCAACTGGACTTTTGTTAGTCTTTGAAAATGTTTTGCTTCTCATCCAAGAAGCTTCAGCTGAAGAAGCTTCTTGGATGAGAAGCGGAACGTCTTCAAAGGATAACAAAAAGGTCCAGTAGTCTCTTGAAAAAGCACCTTTCGACAACCATGACCTGGATGTCTGAGAATTTCCATAATAGACATTGACAACGATGTTTTGAGACCTTTCAGTTCAGATTGTTTTAGGATTGTATAAAGCCCATTTTTCTAACCAACATTTCAGGTGGAGTAGAGAAGAACCTTTTGGTTCCATCTCCCTCAACTGGTTTGAGCATTACTCATCTTGGAAGGCATGGAAAGCAGGCCTGGTGGGCACCTTCTTCGGGACTTCTTTGAGTTGAATCAAAGTTGCTTTTCCTTTTTCAGATGCCTCAAAACCTAGAAGGTACGAAGCTCAAACCTCCCAAATTCGAGGAAGAGGCCTTCGAGATTGTGAAGGTAAAGGTTCCTTGGAGATAAATCAAGAGAATGATGGGGAGGCCAACTGACCAGGTAAGGATTCAGAATGTCAGTCCTTGCAAACGTTCATGGGGTGCTTTGAACCAAAAGAGTTCTTACTATTTAAAACCCAGGACAAGTTGGCTGCTCGGTCCTTCACATCTGAGGATCCATCAAGCCAAATGCCATTTTCTGGAGAGGAAAAAGGTCCCAGTTTCCATCATAGAATTGTTGATTCCTAGAAACTTTGTTTGAAAGGATCAAATTGCAGAAGATGCGGAAAAAAGAACACTGACTGCTAGAAAATCTAGTGACCTGCTGCCAGTTGAGCATATAATATTGAACTAGCTGCCCCCCACCCCCTATGTTTCCAACTTCTGTCAGGTGGACCCATAACTTGATGGATTGATTATGTGCCATCAACTCAATATTAACTATTAGCGGCCAGATAGATTTTCTCTACGACAAGATCTGTAACCTTTTGGCACAGGTAATGTAGTCTTACATTAGAAAGAGGCCAGGAAATCTAAACCCTTGCTTTGGGTGGGAATCCAAATTGAGCTACCCCCAGAGAGCTACCTAATTTCCGCTTGGCCATAATGAAGGGAAGCCGCCCACCCTTCGGGCCCATTGATTTATCTGTCCTATTGCACAGATTGATCAGGAATGAAGGATTCTGGGAACTGAAATGTGGCCATCTAGGGAAATTGAACGTAGTTCTAAAGTGATGTGATGGATCAAATAGTATTTAAAAGGTTAGTGAGTGAGCCCATTAGTTGTGTTTAATTAAAAAAAATGTTTTAAGGAAATCAGTGTCTTACTGATATGTGAACTATTCTCTGTTACTTTAAAAGAGAGGTAATATTAATATTCTTGATCATGAGATCCTCCCAAGCTGGGGCCATTCAGAAAACCATTAAATGAGAATGCTTGAATGTGGGTGTCAGGTGAGGCTCCATTCAAAATCCAAGAAAGAAAACCTTAGACTCCATTGTTTTAGAGAAAAGGACTTTTACTGAAAATTGATATAGTAGCATCAGATCTGAGGCAAATAGGCGCGAAAATCACCCATAGAAAGTTAGGCCAATGTTCCCACCCCCAATAATTCAAAATGGCCGTCCAGTCTGAGGTGTGCATAACGTCATGTGGGGCATCTTCAGGTGGTGTTTCAGACATCTGCCTCGCCATGGGGCTTGACCTTGACCATGGATAGATAGATAAGAAGCTGCAGCTGCATAGTAAGCAAGTAAGCATAGTTAAGAAAATTTCCCCAAGTTTTATAGTTCACCCTCTCAAGCCTCCAGCACTCTTCCCTCCCTCCCCACATAGTCCAATTACTCTCCCCCCCACTTTCTAGGGCAGCCAGAAAGACAACCAGAAGAAGGATTCTTGAAGGCTGACAGAGGATTTCTAGGGTCAAACAGAAGGGGAAGATGAGGTAGTCTTTTAAAGACAAGGTCAGTTGGAAGAGGAAAGAGGAGACCAAGCAACACTAGAATTCGTTGCAGAAGTTGTCACGATGGGAATTCATTGTTGGAAGGTAGCATGACATAAACGCTTTTCTGTTTGTCTCAGAATATGCCATTTGACAGATGCACAAGAAGACCTTCCAAGGGGGAAGATCTGAAAAAGCGGATGAATTCCACTGAAAGGAGTCAATAAAATATTTTTCCTCATGTTCTGGAATCAAAGGTAAAGCCATAAATCCAACAGGGGCTCACAGGCACTCAGGAAATAAAAACAATGAATCTTTCCTGCCTGAAGAAGGCGACCAGAACTAAAACAAAGCGAATTTCAGTGTGGGGGGGAAAAAGTCAGAATTAAGAGGAGATAGAGATGGTGTGCAACCATCAGTATTCTGAATATTCAATGAGGGAACATTCCCTCAAGAAAAAATATATATATAACTGCTCAGAAACATGGGATGTTTTGTTTGGAAAAACAAACCTCTTGAATAACAAGTGGATGCATATAGCAGAGAAGCCATATAAAAGCAGCAAAGGTTTCAATGCAAAATGTGTGAGTTAACATTGTTATTGAATGAATCTGGCCTCCCCATTGGCTTTGCTTGTCAGGAAGTCACAAAAGCTGATGATCACCTCAACCTGGGACACTGTAACCATCATAAATACGAATCCGTTGCCAAGCACCTGAATTTTGATCATATGACCAAGGGGAAGCTGCAACAGTCATAAGTGTGAAAAATGGTCATAAATCATTTTTTTTCAGTGCCGTTATAACTTTGAATGGTCACTAAATGAACTGTTGTAAATTGAGGGCTAGTTGAGACGGGCACAAGTGAATAGATCAGTAGATCGATGTCTGTAAGGGATGTTGCTCTGCGATAGGAGCCACAACCTTCCTGAATACATTTATGGTTCATTCCTGAATATATTTGTCCTCTGTAGAGGATTTGGGAGAGGCACTGCAGCCTTACGGCAAACTTATTCAGTAGGAAATATGGGTCGCAAAAAGGGATTTTTTTGTTTCCATAGGCAATTAAGCTCTGATGATGTAGTGGTTAGCATGCCGTATTGCAGGCTAACTCTGCCCACAGTCTGGAGTTCGATCCTGACTGGCTCAAGGTTGACTCAGACTTCCATCCCTTCTGAGGTTGGTAAAATGTGGATCCAGTTTCCCTATATAAGGGAGAAATATGCTGACATTGTAAACTGATCAGAGTGTGCTGAAAAACGCTATGGGGCAGTATATATAAGTCAAAAGTGCTATTGCTATAGGCCAGAGGTCGCCAAACTTGGCAACTTTAAGACTTGTGGACTTCAATTCCCAGAATTCTCCAGCCACCATCTCTGGCTGAGGAATTCTGAGAGTTGAAGTCCACAAGTCTTAAAGTTGCCAAGTTTGGGGACCCTGCTATAGGCCCACACCCATTCCTTTTCTTTGCCATTTTATCAAGGACTGCTCCTACACGTTATCTATCTCTCCTGTGATTAGATGAGACTGCCCAGGTGTGACTTTTTTTAACTACACCCTGTTTTCCATGAAAATAGTTAGCAGTCCTAATATGCTTCAAAGTTTCTAAAATGGAACTAAGGGTTTGTTCTAAGAGCAAAACTTGTTAAACTTGTAAAAATGTTGGAAACTTGTAAAACCACGATGTAGTGCTGGAAATATTGTATATTTTACTATTTTGCTGCACTGAGTTTGTAGGAAAAAGAATGTACATTGTAGAAATAAAATTATCGTTACCACTGCTGTTCAAGAAATGCACACTCTCATTCTCTTCCCCCCCTCAGTCCCGTTCATTTTGCTCCCTTGAAAAATCCTCCAGATTCCCTTTTTTAAGCCTCAGTCGGCAAATTCTCCTCAGATGAAAAACTCAAGCTGATTTGGGCTGGATTGAGAAGCTAACCATAGTGACTTGGCTTAGAATTGGGATGGGAGACTGTTGAGGTGATTCCCCGTTAGGAGAATGAGCGCACACAGGGAGACGTAGTGAGAGTAGTGAAGAATAACACACAACCAGCACACAGATACACTGTATAGTAAAATGTAGGTTTTTACTTCCAGTAAATGGTTAAGCAAAGTTCAACAAAACAGTCCAAGTCATTCACGGTTATAGCGGTCATTTTTGTAGTCCAGGGATAATCCAAATATCAAAGTCCAGTATCAAAAACAGTTCAGTAACAGACTTACATCAAACCCAAGAAGAACGATTATCAGCAACAGGGAAAAATGTAGGAAAGGCAACACTCTCCTCAACAAGAGAACAGAACAGAACAACCCAGGTTTTTGGCTCCATCTTATGGCCGTTTGAGGAACCACACCCAATTACAATTTTAGCATTCCCTTAAAGAGACAGTATTAAAATGTCTATCCTGGTTTATATATTTTCCAACCCAACTGTTAGGTGACTTACATTCCTAACAGAGACCACTAGGAATCCCTTTAGAAGAATCATCCCGGGAAAACCAGTAGCAATTTGTCTTCCTTTGTATTGTCAAGGAAGCAAGGTAGACTTACCTTGTAGCAGACAAACAAAAATTGGCAGGTTCTTATGTACTTCTTGTAGGCAAATTATATCAAATTTTAACTTCTCTAATTTATGAAAGATTTTTCTTCTTTTAATAGCTGAGTTCAATCCATTTATATTCATAGAAATCAATTTTTTTTCCTCCATGGTTATGTTTTATATTTAGGTCTAACAGTTCTTGTGGATCTTACTTCACGTTGTTCTTTGGTCTCCATTTGTCCACCTACCGCACCTTCTTCTTTCCCCGGTCTCATCTGGTCTTCTTGAGGCTCAATTGCAAAGGTCTCTTTTTCTGTCTCTATTTCTCTTCTTCCAAAAAATTCGTTGTGGAATATTTCTGCTTTCTCAATTGAGTCGATTCTGTGTCTCTGTTCTTGCCATATAAACATTAATCCTTCTGGGATCAACCATCTATAATTCACGTCTTTTCCCAATAATTTTTTGGTCAAGAATCGATATTCTCTTCTCATCTCTCTCACTCTTCTGGGGACTTGTTTTAAAACCATAATCTCTTTACCTTTATATTTCAGCCCCTTATCTCTTGCGACTTGTAATATTTGTGTTTTAATAGTCTTTTTAGTAAATCTGACATGGATCTCCTTTGGTAGCTTATTCCTCATTGCATATCTTGTGAAAACAGCCAGAATTTCTATCATTACAGCCGCCAAATCCTGTCCTTTTTCTTCCTCAATATTTTGAAATCTGAGATAAAATTCTGACCTATCCATCTCCCACTTCAACATCCCAGTTATATCTTGTTGCACCGTTGTTAATTTGCTAACAATATTTCCAATTGTCTCATCTCTTTGTTTATCTTTCTCCTCAATTTTTTGGAGTCTCTCCTCCTGTTTTGCCATCATCTGTTGAAAGTTTTCAATTTTTTCATCAGTCTTTGCAATTCTTTGTTCAATACTCTCTGTTCTTAGGTCAATGCTTGTTTTGAGTTCTTGTATTCCTTGTATAATCGTCGCTAGATCCATTTGTACTTTATCTTGCTTCGCCATTATTGATAGTCGTCCTCCAGTTGATGGAGAAGCAGGAGCAGAAGTTGAACTGCCAGAAGGTAAAGTTTTCTTACTCATTTGAATAACTCAAGATCTTTAAGCTCCTTTAATCCAATCAATAGGGTAGCCAATTATAATCCAATTGGGAAGAAGAAAAACATTAAAAAAAGCCAATAAAAATAAAGAGTCCAGGATTAAAAAGAGAAGGAGAAAAAGAAGATTAAAAAAAAAAAAGGAGGAGATTCTTCAGGTTCTTCTAAACCTTAATCCTATTATAAGATGGCCAATTATGATTCAAAAATAAAAATTAAGAATAGTAAAAAAGAAAAAGAGAGTAAGACCCAATAATATTAAAAAGCAATGATCAAAAAAAAAAGAAAAGGAAAAAGAAAGAATTATTCAGGTTCTTCACACCCTAGTCCAATTGTAGGGTCTCAAAAAATAAAAAAATAACCATAAAAATAAATAAAAAACATGAAAATAGAAAATAGAAAAGGCAAGAATCCCAATAAGCAAAAAGAAAAAGAAAAGCTATTCTGAGGCTTTCCCTTTAAAAAAAAGTAAGTTTAAAAATTAAAAATAAAGTCAAACAAAAGAAAAAGAAAATAGATATACAAATATTACAAAATACTGTGGGGTTGAGGAGGAGGGATGGAACAGCTAAAGAAAGATAAGAAAGAAAGCACACTGCATCTTATTTAGTTATCCAAGGCTCTTATTATGGCTTCTCCACAAATTCCAAAGCCAAACTTCAAGTACTCAATAATAGAAGTTCCAAAGAACACCTGTTAAAACATTCTCCGGTGTTCTTCCCTCTATCTAATCAAGTTCCAGTGTCCTTGAGAAAGGATTCCTTCACAGCTCTTTCAACTTTCAATAAAGTATCTTCAAGCCTCTAGTTGGCAGTGTTACAAAGTTTCTTTAATCCACTCCCCCTTCTTTCCCAAAAAAGCCTAGTAAAAAGAGGGAAATATACATGTATATATATGTATTTTAAAAAAGAAAAATTACTAAAGGGAGCCTCTATTCTAAAAAAAACTATTAACAATCAAAAGGGGGAAAAAAGAAAGAAAAATTAGATGAATATAAAAGGAAAAACCAGTCTAGTTACAGTTACTAGATCACAATGGAAGTTCAATGAAAGCAAAAGTAAAAGTAAAAAGCCAACCCTCAATTTGACATTCTCTTTAAGAAATCGCCGCTAAATCAGTTCCATCAGTTTTTGTCCAAAGTCTTACAGGATTCTTCTCACTTTAGAGTGTCCTTGAGTTCCCGAGAAAAAAAAAAATCTCACCAGCCGATGCACGTTCTCATTCAGCCTCTTCCTTCCAGAGCTGTCACAGCTTCAGCAGCCAAAAGGCTGCCTCTCCGCCGATGGTAAAAGGGCTTCTTCTGGATCAGCCAGGGACTTTGCGATGTCCCTGGGATCAGCAGAATGCGCCCCTTACTATCACCGTCTCTACGGGATAGTTTAGGTCCATTAGGACCAACCAGGGGCGAAGATATCAGCTGCAATCTCAGAGTCCCAAGATTGCAGCTGTATCGCAGCAACGTGGCTCCGCCTTCCAATCTACATATTAAAAAACAACATCAACGATTATTGGTAAGACCAAAACTGGGGAAAATTTTTACTTCCTTGACTAATTGTAAG